CCCTACCCCTCTCTACCCCCCCCCCCAGCCCAGGCTCCACCCCCACCGCAGGAACCCCCAGCCCAGGCTCTGCCCCAGCCCCTCTAAAACCCTGTCCCCAGCCCAGGCCCTGCCCCTCTCAAGCCCCACCCTCTACCCCAGGCTCCACCCCCAGACCCTTTCAAACTCCACCCCTAGCCCCGGTGCCACCCCCAGCCCCTCAGGCTCTGCCCCCACCCAGCGGATCCAGCGGGGCAAGTGGTGGGTGCCGGGCGCCCGGTGGTGCAGGTTGAGCACGACGACACTGAGCACCACGGAGGCGGTGACAAGCGCCATGGCGACGGTGAGGTAGCGCACGATGACGGGCACGGCCAGCGAGGTCTCAGGCACCTTGTCGGCCAGCAGCAGCAGGAAGACCGTGAGCGTCAGCAGTGCAAAGATCGACAGTGTCATCTTCTCCCCTGCACCACCGGGAGGACTGTCACGTATGGGACCCAGGCGTCCGGGCAGCTGGGAGACCCAGGCCTCCAGGGACCCAGGCCTCTAGACAGCTTCAGGCTCAGGGACCCAGGCGTTCGGGGGCCAATCTCCCCTGCTCTCTGGGCTGTTCAGAGAAAACCTTGGCCTGGATCCAGGTCCTGGACTGGCTGGGAGGGAAACCCCGAGCTGGATGGTGCCGTGTACTGGGCAAGTGGGAAAACACAAGCTGGATGGGGGCCCTGCTCTGGGTGGAGGGCAGGGTGGTCACTGACCGGCATCAGGCGGCAGGTAGAAGACGCCGATGGCTAGCACGGTGATGAGCACACAGGGGATGATGACGTTCACGAGGTAGAAGAGCGGGTGGCGCCGGATGACTAGGTAGAAGGTGATGTCCTCGTAGTGCGGGTCCTCCGGCAGGCGGGTGCGGCGTGCCGCACGGTGCTCGATGGACCACTGCCCATTCTCTGTGTGAGGTAGGGCACGTGTCAGTGTGGCCGTGTGTGTGTCAGCATGTGCGTGGCCTGGTGTGTCAGGGATCTGAGCACATGGGCAGGAGTCTACGTGCCTGCGTGCGCAGGCGTGTGCATACATGGGTATTTGTGTGCTGGGCTGTGCAGCACACGTGTGTGCATGCGTGTCTGTACACACATGCAGATTTGTACATCTGCATACACATTTGTACATTATGTGCACACGTGTGTGCATGCATGGACATATATTTATGTGTGTGTGCAGGCATGTCCACACACATGCCTACATCTATATATCTACACAGGCATGTGCATGCATGTACATACATCTGTACATGTGCATGTGCACATGTGCCTACATCTTTGTGTGTGTGCAGACATGTGCAGACACGTGTACCTCTATATATGTGCACAGTGTATGTATACATGTACATATGTCTATATATACAGGTGCATAGATGCACAGGTGTGTGCATACACATAGATATACACACACAGCCGCATGCAGACATGTGTGTGCACCCACCGATGAAGGTGCTCTCAGAAATGACAACCTCGCGCAGCTCCCGGCCCTGTGGGTCCTGTGGGTGCTGAAGGCTCAGCTCCGAGGCATCATACGTGTAGGACCGGAAAACCATGGAGCAGTTCTGCCAGTCGAATGGGAAGTAGGTGACCTGTGGGGGATATTGGGAGGGTCACATGGGGGTCAATGTTGCCGCCCCCCCGGAACCCCCCCTGCGCCCTCACCTCGATGCTGCAGCTGCTGTGGTAGACGGCCGGGGGTAGCCAACGCATGGAGCCGTCGTATGACACAAGGACGGTGACAGGCAGCGCAATCTCAAAGTTCCCATCATTCCTGGTGGGGGGTTGGTTGGATAGGTGGGTATCATGGGCATGGGCAGATGCACAGACAGATGGACAGAGGGATTACCTTGTTGAATGGAGAGATGGAAGGGATGATAAACAGACAAATGGAGATGGGTTTGGGCTCTGCCCCCCCCCACTCACGTGTTGACAAGGAAGATGTCGGGCAGCCAGACGCGGTCAGGAGTGACACGCAGGGTGCTGAGCCCCTCGTAGGTAGCCGGATCCCAGCTCAGGCGGTAGTCGGTCCACTGCTGCTGGGCAGATAGGGCCTCAGGGATCCACCCATCCACCATCCATCCATCCACCCACCCACCCATCACTAGGGAGACAGGCACGGGGCTGCACCCCAGTGGCCCAGAGCCCTGTAGAGAGTTGAACCGTCCCCAGTGCATAATGCCCAGAGCAGAGTTGGGGTCCTGCCACCACAGCACCCCCAGACACCCCCCACCCCAGAGGGGTGAATCCCCCCTGGGACTGGACTGACCAGATCCAGGTAGACTTTGGTGGTCAGCTCCTCGTTCTTCTCGTCCTGGGGTGGGAAGGATTAACAGCTGACGTCATTGTGCTTCTCCAGCAGGATTGAGCCCATTTACCCAGGATTGGGGCCCCCATCACCTCCTGGGATTGGGTCCCTCAACCCCAGGATTGTGCCTCCGTGCCCTCCCGGGATCAGGCCCATCTACCCTAGGATCAGGACCCTCATCACCTCCCAAGGGCCAATCTACCCCAGGATTGAGGCCCCCATAAACTCCCAGGATTGGGTCCATCAATCCCAGGATGAGCCCCCACCCCCCATCCCTTCCCAGGATTGGGCCTGTCTACCCCAGAATTGGGGGTCCTTTCAGATCCCAGAATCGGGCCCATCTAGCCCAGGATCAGATGCCCATCCCCTCCCAGGATTGCCACCCTGCCCCACATCAGCTCCCAGGATTGGGCCCATCCACCTCAGGATCAGCCCCCCACATCTCTTCCCAGGGTTGGGCCCATCTACCCCAGAGTTGGGGCCCCCATCAGCTTCCAGGGTTCAGTCCCTCTACCTCAGAATCAGGTCCCCTCATCCCCTCCCACAATCGAGCCCATGTAACCCAGGATCAGGGCCATCTCCCTCAGGATTGTGCCCCCGCCCATCCCTTTCCAGGATCAGGGCCCCCCCCATCACCTCCCAGGATTGGGCCCCCATTCCCTTCCAGGATTCCCTTCCCACCCATCTACCCCTGAATTGGGTGTCCTATCATCTCATAGGATTGGGGCCACTACCCCAGGATTGGGCCCCCCAGGCTGAGCCTCTCCACCTGGGACAGCTGCTGGATTCCTGTGGGGGGGGCGCTTCCCTGAGCTCCTTAACCCTGTCCTTGCCAGGGCAGAGATAGACAACCCCCTGGGGGCAGGTTCTAGACCAGGGGGTGGGGGTCTCACCAGTTTCTAGGTCACTCAACTGAAGCCGCTCAAGACTGTGACGAACTCTTGTCAGTTCCCGGGCCAGGGGGGGTGGGACATCTGGGGGTGGGGCCAGGGGTCTAGAAACTTGTCAGGGGGCCTAGAACCCACCCCCAGACTAGGCCACTCTAGCAATGGCGGGGGGGGGTGTGGAAGACAAAGAACCCCTCTATGGTGGGGCTGGGGAGGGCTGGAACCTTGAATGCTACTAGCCAATCTAGAATCCCACTGATGGCTCTAGAAAGATGCCGCCCAATCTCAATCCCAATGGCCCCATGTTGCGAGCCACAGGGGCAGGGAGATCTAGAACCCAGCAGAGCAATCTAGAACACTGTGGATCAATCGACAGGCCAGGTCCCAATAGCTCAGGATCTAGACCCCAATGGAGCAATTTACAATGTCATGGGTCAATCGGAAACCCCAGGCCCCAATAGAATGGGCTAATCTAGAACCCGATGGGGTGGTATAGAACACTGCAGGTGAACCTAGAACCCTGGTCCCCAGCAGACAACCCCTGCCATGTCCTCCTTTAGACCAAGATCCATGGCCCTGGGCACCGAAGGGAAATCCCCTGGGTGAGGGTTCTAGGTCACTCTATGGTGGATTCTAGGTCACTCTATGGGTGTTGAGAGGAGTCAGCTCCCCCCCACCCACCAGGGTGTCACCCCCCCAGGAGTCCTCACCAGGTTGATGAGCTGGGACAGGACCAGCCCCACACTGACGGGGACACGGTCTAGGGGGCACCGAGCTGGGCGCACCGTGGGGCTGTAGTTGGTGAAGAGGGTCTCCAGCAGCTGCCCCTCATGGGGTGAGGCCCCTGTGCCTGGGGGAGCACGGGGAGGGGGGCTGTGTACGTCTGTCCCAACCCCCGCATCCCTCTGGCTCACCAGCCATCCCACCCCATGGGGCAGTCTGTCCATTTGCCCCCCATCCCCTAGTGCCCCCTTGGGGGGGTACTACTACCCCCCAATCTCCCAATGACCACCCTGGGGGGTTCCAACCAACCCTATCACCCCCCCAATACCCCTGGGGGGTCCTACCACCCACCAATGCCCCCCTGGGGATCCAACAACCCCTCCCACCCCCTCAATACCCCCAGGCGGGTCCTACCACCCCCCAATGCCTCCCTGGTGGGGTCCTACCACCCGCCAGCAGCAGCAGGGCGCAGAGGAGCCC